TTCAGCGGAAAGTGAGCCGGCTGAGGGGCATGCCACTGCGGAAGGGTCACCAGCAAGGGATGATGATGAGGTCCACTAATGCCAAAGTTCCTCTCGAATTGAGTGTTCGTGAGCGGCTTCATGCGTCGGTATTGAACCTGCGGTTGTCGAATCAGAATGTAGTCAATGCGAGAGGCATGAGTACCATGAGAAAATAACGGCAATCAGGTCCTGAGATCTCAGAATTTGCTGCAAGACATGGCTGTCCTTGTGCACATTGGGTAGTCTTCTGGGGTCTTCCGATCCAACAAAAGGTGGATCAGCACGAAGAACTGTATTGAAGTCTCCAAGAACAATTAAGTAATGGGCCTTGGGAATATGATTCAAACAGTTTTGAAGTGCTTGCACAACTGTTGTCGTTTTTGAAGGAGGGGTTGAGAGCCATGACATGGATTCCAAACATGTTGATAAACAATGAGAAAATCAATCGTGCGCTTAAGAAATATCCTCACATGCATGAGGCGTCCTTCAATCAAGGTGGCCGTGGCCAATCGATCTGCTGGAGCGAGGTGGACACGTACCATCAACAAGACGGAGGCCTGTTTGCAAGCCGAATACGTACCATCAACAAGACGGAGGCCTGTTTGCAAGCCGAATGTATGCAGTGCCATTCGGAGGTGCTCCATGTAGCCGAGAAGCGCCATCCCGTCTCTTGTATGGCCAACACTTCAAACGATTGAGTGGAAGCCCAAATCAGTAGCTCATCGTAGACCAATGCTTTCGAGGCATTCCAGGTCATGCAGCGGATGCCAGTTGCAATGGAAACTGGCGTCAATGCCTTCCGAGCAGCCGGCAGTTGTCTGAAGGACTCACGGAACCTCCATGGGACATCTGTGGGGAGGAGCATCTTCCCTCGGTACTCAGCCATACCATGGCGTAAGGCCCTGTAGCATGCTCTACGGTATGCGCGCGTAATGCGCAGAATGCGCGGCCGAGCAGAGATGAGGCCGTAGCCACCAAAAGCCCATACCTCATATAGCTTCGTGGAAGGAGAAGGTGTGTCCACCGGATGACCTCCACTTTCGCTCAGAGCAGAGGAACTCTGAGCAACCCTCACGCCGGATATGGAAGCAGGTTGAAAAGGGGTAGCATCAGCTCGCATATCCCCCGGACTTGGGACCCGGAAATCCAGTTCGGTCTTCAGTAGAAAAATGGCGGCAGCCAGAATGAAAGGAGGCCAATGCACCATTACAAAAACAGGATCGCAAAACTCATGGCACTTCGCCCCAAAGCGGCCGTGGCTCTTAAACTGGAAATGGCGCTTTCATTTCCTATAAATCGGATATCAAAATCTTTTTAAATGCTCCACTGTAGCCATTCATAATAATATAGATTATTACCACCATTCGAATTAAAAATCTAAAATACGAATTCCGGTATATAATATATAATATCGGATTTCCTAGTAATCGATACAATTGTAGAATTAAATATATTTTGTATTTTATAAGAAATTTATTAATCCATAAAAATCTAGCCATAATATATATATATCCTTCATATCCGACGATATATTCGATACAAAATTCCTTTAATTCTATTATATCTAAATGAAAATCCAATATAATTTAAATCAAATCTTATCTATATTTCACTTAATTTCCTATCGTGGTATACAATCTAGTTACTCTATCTATATAATTACACCCTTAATTATTAAATACAAAAGACAAATAAAGATAGTAATGCAAACATCATGCATTAAAAACACATCGCAACAACGCGATACGACAACAAGACTAACCTCCAAACCGCTCCGAATCATATATCCAAGCCCCCAAAGGCACACAACAACAACACCATACACCCAATCTCGACAACGGCCACATGTCTAGCAGCGAGACCCTGCAACAAAAATAATACAATATAAAAATTCCAAATTTCGAGAGAAAACATCACGCATTTTATCTTCGATCAACTCACAACAAACCTTTATTTAGGTTATCGTAATCCGTCCTATACTCTCTTTCGTAAATATTTTCTAATTAAAATATTTTGCATCCATCGAAAACAATAAGAAAAATACGGAATTTTTCGAACCACAATATCATCAATCGCCTAATAATACGTAATTCGATTTTTTTTCCTAAATTTAATTGTATTTAAAACATTTTAAAACCATAAAAATTCCATATATCCAAGAATCCAAATTCCAAAAGAATTTCGCGAAAAAAACAAATTACATGTTAAGCCTTCGGCCTTTTAATATACCTTCGTATCCAAGCCCGTTACACAATTTTTACGATCACGTAAGGGGCTTTGTGTTATGTATAATATAATCATATATATTAATAATAACAATTTTAAAGAATCTTTATATTGCAATAGTGAAGAAATAGAAGAGTGTTTCGAATCTTATATCATCTTATATCGATTTCCAATCAAAGAAGTTGTAATTCTTCGTTTTCCCCCAAAATAGCAAGTTAGCACGTGATGGAACACATGCCAAGGTCTAGCCATTTGTAGGCCGCGCTCCCTCCGTTTCGGTCAGGAGCTGGGCTGCCAGCACACCCAACAATAGCAACTTGGCACCAAAGGTCCAAAGAAAGGAGCTTTTGTCCTATTGTATTGTTTGTGGCAACAAATGGCCTTCAAGTTTGTGTCAGCTCAAAAGCAGATGAGTTGATCCTATGAATCATTCATCTCGGCACCAGTTGTCATTGCATGTGTACTGGCCAAAAGGAAGAAAATGTTGTCCTTGAACGTAGGTCCAAGCACCTTCCCATTAATTTACAAGCAGGATCACAATCTCTCCAAGATTTACTGCCCCAAAACCTCTCAACCTAAAGATTTCTGCAAGGGCTTGGGCTCCCACCCTTTTGGCCCTTGCATCCTGTGCATTATCTGCTCAATTGAGCCTTTCCACGATTTCCGCATGCTCCTGCCAAGAGCACACATCCCAGAATTCTTTGCCACTGCTTTCCCGGAGCCACTTCTTGTGCATCGCGGCACAGGCCATGATCGCCGTCTTGATATCGGTGATCAGTGGAACGCCGGCCTCGATCGCCCCTCGGCGCATCTTGAAGCCATCCGTCATGCCGTTGGAATCCATGGAGTCTGGGACGTTGATCACGAGATCCATCTTCCCAGCTTGGAGCAAGGTCAACACGTTGGGTTCCTCAGAGCTATCCACAGACATGTGCCTCCAAAACATACCTTCAAACCGTTGGAAAGGTCCAAAAGTGAACAGCTTCTTTAGAAGTAACCGTTTCCTCAAACAGATCATGCGAAGGTTTCTTCAAGGAACCTCGAGCGGGGGGGAGCTTCCTTGAAGAAGCCTCCCCTTGCTAGAAACTTTAGTAGCTAGTTACTCCCTCATTAATTATATAAGTAGGCTCCTACTAGCGATGGCCTCCAACCTAGTAGCGATGGCCTCCAACCTAGTAGCGATGGCCTTCACCCTAGTAGCGATGGCCTAGTAGCTATCAATCACTTACTAAACTAGTTTACTACTTCTACCTCTAGACATAATCTTTACGGCCTACCCCAAAAAGCAAACGGAAAAATAGAGTGAAGTAAGGAAAGCACAAGACAAGTATTAGAAAGAAAGATTGATGAGAAGTTCCATCCACTTCTTTTCGGCCTAGTGGCCCTCTTAATCAAAGGCTTGTAGACCAGGCTGCAAGCAAAGCCTTGCTTGGACAGAACATCATGCGTGCTTTTGGTGGCGAAAAGGCTAAAGCCCATGTCCTGCAAGAGAAAACGGTCAAAGAACCAAAGCTGGCCACGATGGGAGTTCAGGCCTAAACCTCGAGCTGTTCGGTCCAACTTCTAACCTACAAGTCTTTTTTTTCGGTCGATCCGTAGATCCATCGTGTAAATCTCCTGAAGCTGCTTTGCCGCACCACTGCTCAGGAACTCTTGCTTGGCACCGTTGGGACCAATAGAGATCACGATGTTCTTCAGTGGAAGCTTGAAGTTCGCAGCCACCATGCCTCGGTGGATTTTGTCGGAAACCCGCCAGGCTTCTTTGAACTGCAAGCGTTCCTTCTGTTAGAAACCGAAGAACAGTACACACAGTGCACACACAAAGAAAAACAAAGAAACATACACATTACAGTACAGTACAGTACATTGCATTATACATACGTAATGACTAGCACCGAACGAACATCCGTCCGATCGTCTTCAGCAGTTCCATGGTACCTTTCAGGAAGGCTTCATGGGCGTTCACACCAAAGCATGCCACTTCACCAGTGGAGGACATCTCCACGCCCAGGCGTGGGTCGGAGTTCTTCAGGCGTCCAAAGGAGAACATCGGACACTTGCAAGCAACCTAAGGTGTTGAAAGAGTGGATCAAGAAACGTCATTCGTCTAGTCTAAAGGCAAGAAACACACGCATTGAAGTTGGTTCGGATTGCACAAAATTGAAAACCACCAAAACAAACGGGGATTACTTGCAAGTGACGAAGTCTATGTCCATTGGCTGGATGATGGCCGAACGAACCGGCAAACCCGTCATGATGCGAGTGGCCAGCTCAATGAAGTTCCTAGCGTGGCACGTGTTGCTCAACGAGGCTTATGGGGAAGTGAGGAGGTGCTTTCTAGTAGCTTCTTGTTCCTAGTAGCAATGCCAGGAGCCCCTAGTGGCATCCTTGCTCCTAGTAGTAAGGCCAGGAGCCCCTAGCAGCGTCCTTGCTCCCAGTAGCGATGCCCTTTGCCAGTTGGCAAGCTGGTTGGCAAGCCAATAGCCATCCTCTCTGTTGTTTTGGCGGCGTGCCCCAACAAGCTGCCAGTTTTGCGGGTAACGTAGGGGAGATTGAAACCACTTGATCTGCATCAAGAACAGACCTTCATGATCCTCAAGTAGTGCCTGGAGGCCATCGCTACTAGGGTGGAGGCCATCGCTATTAGGGCCATTGATGAGACCCAAACAAGAAAAACACAAAATGGAGCCCACGAACCCGAATGCAAACACGTTCAAAAAGCTACATATGTCCAAATGACACTCTTGTGGGTCGCTCTTGTAGGAAACTCTTGTGGGACACTCTTACGGGACACTCTTGTGGGACAGTCTTGTGGGACACTCTTGTGGGTCACTCTTGTAGGATTCTCTTGTGGGACACTCTTGTAGGACATTCTTCCAAGACACTCTTGTAGGACACTCTTGTGGGAACTCTTGTAGGACACTCTTGTG